CGCCGGGGTGGGGGGGGGGTCAGATCCGTCGTCGTCGCCGCCGACTTGCCATGCTGCGGCACGCGAAATTCGCGCATGTACCCTAGCGTCCCGACGCCGTTCGCCGTCGACGCCGCCGCGCAGATACATATGCACCGCACGCATACGCACGCACGGCAGCCCGACATTTCGGCCGCCCGTTCACGCGGCTGGCTAGCTGGCTCGCTGGCTGGCTGATCGAAAGAGCTGCTCGCGACCCTTCGGCGTCACGGACGCTCTACTTCAGCCCTTTGCGATTCTATATCGCGGCGGGGAGACCCTCCCCTGAGACGTGGAGCTTTGCGATAATCCTAAACAGAGTTTCCGAACAGTCCAAGTGGCGCGCGAGGAAACTGATTGGAAAACTGGAATTTTTTTTTTTTTTTTTTTTTTTAATATTTTCTGCGCATGAAAAAATTGTTTTATCATATATATATATGTGTGTGTGATATTAAAATGTGAAATATTCGATATTGATTTATTTATTGAAAGCTCGGACCGTAAAGGGAATTGATGTTGCGCGGGTTTCTCGATTAACTTTATAAAAGCCTAATTGAAAATCGTATGTCTCTAATGATACCGAGTACTCTCAATATATATATTCCATTATTATGTTTAATCGGCTCTCTATTAGATTACTCTTTCAATAAAATTGCATTATTTTGCGCGTAAATTGATACGTCAGTATTACATTACTCAACCGCTTTTATATTCAACATGTTACGAAAATATCAGCGTGCTATTAATGCGATCTTTCTCGTGCACAATATACTAATTTTAAACAAGATATATAGTTGAGATACGTTGATAAGGGATTATTAGATTCAAATGTTTCCGCTCTAATAAGCTATCTAGTTAAACAAAATGCAATACTTCGAGCAGAAAGTTGTTTCGAGCTTGTGTAGATTTTACTGATAATTTTCAAACTTTATCATTATAGCACGTAATATATATGCAAGGCGGCGCATCGCCCTCTCCCCCTCCCCCTTGCCTACCCTCGATGCAATGATAATAGTGATTCGTTTGACCCATTCTTCATCAGCCGCTATTTCCGTAACGTATACATACAAAGATAATTGCCATGCATTCTGCAGATCGTATCTATAATTAATTCGGTTTCGTGATAATATCGATAACGTTGTCAGTGACAACACAATTGTTAAATAAAGATCTCGTGCATTCATTTATGTATATCGTATATTTATAGAGATTCCGCATTTGTTTCAGTGTGATTAATTTAATCAGGTCTAGTCTCGATTAAATTATTTTAATCTAGTGTAATTTTTCATTACACTAGATTTTATAATATTATATATGATGCGAATGTATAATATATTTTTTTTTAAGAATATAGTGATTATAGTAAATAAAATTTGTAGAAACGTGACATTAGAAAATATGTCACTTTTAATTTTTAGAGACTCGAATTCGGAATGCAACTCGCGGAAATAAAAATTACTCCGGATGAAACAATGAAAATCTTATAATTATTTCGAGAGGGATGTGCGCGGACGGTTTCTATTATTAACTATAAGACTGGAATAAAGACTGGACAAGTTGAATTGGAAATATATTTTCAGTCGATTCTGTGAAACGGTTTCGCGCGGGGATGAGTAGCGACGGTGAAATTCGCACGTTTGTACGTATCCGATGAACGTGTAGCGTGTTGAGGCGGAGGCGAAGGCGGCGACGGCGGCGGCGCCGTAAGCGAGTTCTCGCGGCACCTCGCGGCGTCCGGCGGCGAACAGCAAGAATCGCGCGATTTTGCAGCGACGGCCGGGGGTTGGTCTCTCCTATTCGAGGTGTCGTACGTACGTACGTACGTAAGCGCGGCGACGGCGGCGGCACGCTTTTGTTCCTCACACGCGAGTGCTGCGGGAGACGCGAGACAGGAGCGGCGTAACACGGAACGCGTTACGAGCGAACCACCACCGCCAGGAGGAGGAGGAGGAGGAGGAGGAGGAGGTGAAGAAGGTGGAGGAGTCGAGGGAGTAAGAGGAACCGCGTCGGGAAGCGCTGGCACACGCGGTGTCGCGAAAAATGGCGAAGACGTTTCGCACGGTGGCGGTCTCGGCTCTGTCAAACAATGGACAGTCCACGCCGAAGTACAACAAACCGGTCACGCTCAATATCAATTACGACCCTCAGGGCCTCAGCATCGAGCTTGTCTCAGGTACGGACGCGGCTAAATAGATCGTCTTCGGCGTCGACGGGACGCATCGTCGGCGACGCGACCGACGGCGACGCGGCTGATCGATCACGCGATTCGGTCATCCGGACGACATAACCACACTTCCCGTCGCATCGACTGCTTTTTTTTTTTTTTTTTTCCCCTCTCGGCAAGATCGCGCCCAGTCGTTTCCCGGTGCCCCGGGTCGATCGCCGACCGACGTCGCTTTTGGGTTCATCAAGTCCTTCATCGAAACGCGCGGGCGATCTTCCCGTCTTGTGTCTTTGTCTTTTCTTTTTTTTTTATTCTTTGCCCTCTCGTTTTTTCGACTTTTTTCGTTTGAGTCATGTTTATTTGTTTCTCATTGTTTATTATGCTAATAACGAAACACCTTGATGAAGAATCGTCGCGATGATAGGTCGAATTCTGTCGTTTGCACGCTACACGATACCGATGCTATTGTTATACTTTATAGGAGAGAGATGACATTATTTGAATGAGCAGATGATGCATGATGAAATGTTTGAAATCATTAATTTGCAACTATTGTTTTAATCAGAGGCATATATGATGATATTACTCTTTACGACTATATTCTTATTTTATTAATATATCTCTTCTCTTCATATTTTTCTCTTTAATATATATAATAAGAACCAGGGTAAAATGATATTGCTTATATATATGTTAATAAATATTTAATATCTTCAACATCCTTTTTAGGAGATATTAGCGGCAAGGAAAAGACAAGTCTGTTGGAATTTCCAGTGACTCCTAGTACTGAATGTTCTCGTGTATCATCTCGAAGTTATGTTTTTACACTCGATACAGATAGCTTACTCATTACATTTGCTAATGAAGCAGGTGAGGAAATAATTCTTCTTGCAGCTTAAGCATCTTATGTTAAGCTTTCAAATGTTATAAAATGAATATTTTTGATGAAAATGTATGTTTTTGCTCTAATATCTTCTACAAAAAGAAAAGAAAGTAGAAAGAGAATTTCAGCAAATACATTTGATTCACAGATTTTCGCAACTTTCACTCGCACATAGTAAAACTCAAGGTAGGAAAAGGTATATCAGCATTTAATGAGAGAACGGAAGAATCCTCAGCGATGCAATATTTTCAATTTTACGGCTATCTCTCGCAACAACAAAACATGATGCAGGATTATATTAGGACTAGTACATACCAACGAGCAATCCTTGGAAACTTGTCTGATTTTAAGGATAAGGTTGTACTAGATGTAGGCGCTGGTTCCGGTATATTATCATTCTTTGCCATACAAGCCGGTGCTAAGAAAGTGTACGCTGTAGAAGCGAGCAATATGGCAAACCACGCCGAGCTATTAGTTGCAGCTAATAATTTGTCGGATAAAATAATAGTCATAGCTGGAAAAATAGAGGAGATCGACTTATCCGAGCGTGTGGACTGTATAGTGAGTGAGCCTATGGGATACATGTTATATAATGAAAGAATGCTCGAAACTTACTTGCATGCAAAGAAGTGGTTAGCTCCAGGTAAGCATTTCAAGATATATCATAATTTATATGCTTTTCTCCTTCTATTGATTCTCTTCCTCTCTTTTTTTTTTTCTTTTAATTAAATTATTTTTATGCACAGGCGGGAGAATGTTTCCCTCGAGAGGTGATCTGCACATTGCGCCTTTTTCTGATGAAAATCTCTATATGGAACAATTCAATAAAGCCAATTTTTGGTATCAGACATGTTTCCATGGAGTAGATCTCTCTGCCATGAGAAATAACGCTATTAAAGAATACTTTAGGCAACCGATTGTCGATACTTTTGATATTAGAATATGTATGGCGAAATCGGTGAGGCACATAGTAGACTTCCAAACAGCTGATGAGACTGATTTACATAAAATAGGTATGAAACAAAAGATTGAGAAGTAAATAAAAAAAATTAATAAATTATACAAAGGATACAACACACTGCTAACGTTCTGCAAAATTGTATTTTCTTTAGAAATAGATGTCGATTTTCATATACTGGAGAGTGGTACATGCCATGGTCTAGCTTTCTGGTTCGATGTAGCATTTATCGGATCTACACAACAAGTTTGGTTAAGTACAGCTCCCACAGAACCTCTCACACACTGGTATCAAGTACGCTGCCTCTTAGAAAATCCATTGTTTTGTAAAAGTGGGCAACTACTCTCTGGGAAAGTCATTCTTATAGCAAATAAAAGGTAAATATTGTCTGCTATCGATTTCATCTCTGTAGTTCTACCTGTCTTCATTTTCAATATGTTGTTACAAATTTATTTCCATACATTTGTTTCCGCTGGTTACAAATTTATTTCTATACATTCTACTATTGTTATATATATTACATTTCAGACAATCCTATGATGTAACAATAGAACTGAAACTCGAAGGAACGAATATGGAAAGCAGTAGCAACACCTTAGACTTGAAAAATCCTTACTTCCGATACACAGGCGCTGCAGCGCAACCACCTCCTGGTTTAAATAACACTTCACCTAGCGAATCCTATTGGACAACTCTGGACGCGCAGGGTGCTCGACAAGCGGTGAATATGGTCAATGGAATGTCTGTTAATGGTCTTGGCGAGGTCTCAATGGACACAAGTGCGACCGTAAATCCAAATAATTTGCTGGCAATAGGTAAGGTTTGGTTTGACTCTTCAGTGTATCATTACATGTATTGAACGTACCGTGTGCGAAATATATAATATTGTAATCGACGTCCTTGCCACATGCATCACGCCCAAGAAATTTTGATTCCCCACTGTCCGATTTTTGTAGAAAATATATTTATAAAGTCCTTTGTCGCAAAATATATGAAGGATGCCTACGTGTTCGCACACATTGAATGATCGCTTTTCTCGGCCCGTATAGTCTATACGTATTTATTACATTTAAAACATAGAATATTTAAACAAAAAACATTTTAGAAGTAATAAATAATTGTCTTCGCAATTGGAGACATTCTGAAGTTTAATATTGCTCAAAATATGTAATATTTAGTGTCTATCATTTTCTATATTATATTATATCATAGATTTTATGTACCATGTTGCTGTACAAGAACGGTATAATTTCTGTTTTTCTAAAAACTGTTTTATGTGATTTGATTAAAAATTATCTCCAATGGCTCCTTCTATATAAATGTACCATTAAATAAAATTGGCATGAAATATATAGTAGTTTGTAAATATTTTGTTAAAGCTTTGTAGTGATGTGCACATGAAAGTGCTTTGAAGATTGTTTTTATTAGGTATTGTTAGATAAATCTTTCTTTATATATATATATATATATATATATATATATATTATAAAATCGCGAGAAAATCCCTATTTTGAGAAATAATTTTTGGAGTTTTTCTTTATTTGATTAAATAAAAAGCTCTTAGATCCAGAAAGCGAGAAAACAAATAAAGAAAAACTCCAAGAATTATTTCTCAAAATAGGGATTTTCTCGCGATTTTCCTACATTATTATTCATTATTACTCTTTCCTTAGTGGAAAGACAAAAACGATCTTCGCGAATGGCTACCAAATGTTCGCGGAATCGTCTCAATAGGCGGCTTAGGAAGGAATTGGCTCGGGCGTCCGCGGATCCTAGTTTTATTATTGATTATAAGAAACTAAATCTAGACGAGCGAACATTTAAATTAAGAATCCAGCGATTAAACAATACACCAACACGAGTATATATATTATAAAGCAAAAAGCCCTTTGGATGATAATTACAATTATAGTTTAAAATGGAATGAAACATTTAAAAGAAACAATTGAATACAAGCTACTTTTGATTTTTATGTGCTAATACTGTTCTTACAGATGTTAGTATAATTATTAATTACATAAAATCAAATTATTTGTCGGACCTTTTTATTGTAATGGTACTTACAGAATGGACTCACATATTTTATTACTGTACATCAAGGGAAACATTTGTACAAAGAAGAAAAAGTTCCTTGTGATTGTTCTAATTTATACATATTTTGTAGAATTTGACTCGTGTAAATAAACTTGTTTTTAGTAGTATGGGTTTATATAAATATTCAATTATCTACTCTAATCCCGTTTATAAAAATTGAGTTTATATTCTTTTTCTTCCTAACTTTTACATATAAAAGAGCTATAATTTATTTATTTATTTAATACAATTAATAAATCTATACAAATAACAGAATAAGAACACTTTTTCTTGTTGAGTACCGATAATAGATTATTTTACTATTGATTTATATAAATATCTTTTTAAATAAATATATTTCATTTATTTTTAGATGTGCACGTCTCTCTGTGTATGTGCAACAGTTCAAGTTTTTTATTTGAGCCTGTGTGGTATTTTAGACACACACATAACTCTTTTTGGATTGTTTCTTTAAATAACAATCTTGCTTTACTGAATGAAAATTTAATAAGAAGTGTATTTTTTAGTTTATTATTTTAAATACATTTTTATGTAAATTGTATTTTGCTCCCAAACTTTTTAGTATATATATAAATGATTTACATATTTATATATACTACTTTTATTCTTTTATCATTAATAATTAAACCATATATAAATATATATGAAATGTATGATCTTTTATGTAACAGGAGGGCAACCAAACATTCATCCCGGTTCACAAGCACACAAGCGGCACAATTGATAGGCGGTGGAATAACACCAAACATGTTTACATCACCCGCTACTGTAAGTACAGTTTGAATATTGACATTTCGTACACAGTAAGTTACTATGAGCAACGGAGAGCGTAATCTATGTAAAATAACGCTCTGGATGAAATAACACACAAGCATGAAACGACTATTGCGCTGAAAATTCTTTTACCATTTAGTTTGCTATATATTAATTAAATTATATATTGACGTGAGAGACGGAAACTAAAGCAATACGTCTGCTTGCGTGACTTTCGCGCTACAGCTTGGTGTTACTTTCCAGCAATCGCTGGTCCTCGGCAACTCTTCTCATTATCCAGTGAATCCCAGCCTGATGATCGGTGACTATGTGACTCCTGGGAACGGTTTATCGCCGCAAGTATATCGGCAATGATCTATGGCGAAATCGTTTCTCGCCGAATATTCTCGCAAAATAAAACAGTTACAAAACGATCGTAATAGTTGTAACAGTATTGGAGACAATGGCAACAACAGTAAACAAATCCGCAAACTGGTATTTAGCTCTCCGGCCAGTAAACTTCGACTCTCGTCTGCCGTACGGATTTTAAGTACCGTCGATTTGGCCAATTTTAATCCAGACTTTGGTCATAATAACGTCGCTTATTCAAACAAAAGTACAGTTAGACACGGGTTTACGTTCGATTGGAATTCCGCAAGAAGTAATAGGTCTCAAAGGGAGGCACGTTGGAAAAGACTGCGAGCCGTCCTCTCGTAGTTGTCATCAATTAATCGTACAGTTAGTTTCATTGGCTGTTCCATTTAGTCATTATTCGGGAAAAAGTAGAGAAAAAGAGAAAGGATCTTCCAGATCGACGAGCATGCTTGCCAAATATACCCACATGAGAATATAATATTTTTTAATGACAATACAGTATCGTCGCTCTGTAGTATAGTCATCACTATATTTTACAAAGTTTACACAAAACTGTGAAACGCGAATAATTTATAACGAAAGAGAGAATAATCTCGCGAATTGCTGCAATTTCTTTGTTTTAATTTGATGAATTGAAATGATGATTTATAAAATCGACTAAGTATTCAAAGACACATAGGGGCATATTTTACTAAGCTGCGACGTTGGCTTGGTTGGGTTTCGATATCAAGCGACTTTTACACGAGTTTTTAGAATAGGCAAACAGCGTTTCGACAACATTTTGAGAAGTGCAAAGAGCAATAATACATTAGGCATACGTTGTAGAGCACTCTGTGGCATTACCTGTTATTCAGCTGTTTCTTGCTCTTATTTTAATCGACGTGTCTTTATTACGTTAGCATGACAATACATGAGAAAGTACAACTTTTTATGAGTATTAGTTATTACATTTCAGTCACCCGTGTAATCCATATCGAGATGTTTTAATTGTTTGATAGGTATGTGTGTGCGATAACTACTCATCTATCGATTATGTTTTTATAGGTAAATTGTATATATCTGAATGTATGACACGCAAACAGATAGGGATACTTCATCTAGAAAAAGAAAACGACGGCAACTGATCGATCATGAAATCGTCCTAAATTATGAATGTAACGAGTTACGTTGCCATAGTGTGTAAATGTGTAATTGCACATTTGTTACAAATGTAGACACATTGAAACAAGGATTGCTCGAATGGAATCTTATAGTTTTATATAAGATGATCTGTCTGTAATTTGTAAGGTATAGCTTTGCGTTACACTTAATTTTTTTTATATATATTTTGTAGTCGCGAGAAATGTCTGTTTTAAAAGATTCTCATCAAGCTTTTTCTCAAAAGTGCATTGCACAGATAATATATTGTTAGGTGTTTAAAGCGATATTATCCAGAAATTGAAACAGATATATATCGGATATTATTTCTTCCTACTACAACTATGATTTTTGTTTCAAATTGTGTAATAAAAAAAGTTGGTGATGCCATTTCTTTTCTTTTTTTGCGTTGGATTTTGCATCACTTTTACATATGTTATGATGTATCGATAAAGTATTAAAATCTTTGAAAATAGACACTTTTTGCTTGAATGATCTGTACACGTAATAAGTGATGCTTGGAAACTTGTATATGTTCTCTGTACTCATAATAATATTATAAAGTAAAAAACAGAAATATACGGCCCCATAATGGCTTTTTGTCATCTTTAACTCTTTCCACTCATGTACATTGATACAGCGATATAAAGTTCAGTTATTGATAAATATAGATTGTACATTTTGCTTAATATGCGATAAAAGATAATTTTATTTATTTTTGCTAAAATTGTGTTTGAGAAAATTCTCATTATCTATTTTTATTACAATTTCCTCTCATTAAACTAATATAGTAATACAAATTTGAGTGTAAAGGGTTAAATTGTTAAGATATTTAACTATTTAACTACAATCTCTTATATACAAAGTAAAATGTTGGGATATATATATTTATTATTGCATTAAGGATTTTTTTTATTCCAGTAAATGTATGAAAGATATTCAATCAATCACGAAAACGTGTATGGAATCTGCTGTACATATATATACATCTTCGAATAATTTTTACATATGTATTGTTTAATTATATACAAGATGGTTTATCAGAAACAAAACACCTGAATAAAAAATTTTCCTAAGTTTGAAGATTGCAGAAATAAATATTACGAACATTATTTGTATTAGCACGTTAAAAGTTTTGTCTTATTTCATTTACATGAAATATTTTGAAATAGAAATATTTGGAACTGTCCAAATTATCTAATCATATGTATTTCTTTGTTGAATGGTTATTCTCACAAAAGTGTTCTGTTTCTGGTTTGAATTATCTTGTAATAATACTACTGCAGATCTCAAGGAAACTATTTCAAGTTTTATTAGGTCTTAAGCAAGTTAAACTTTATTTGTTATCTGCACATATACTTGCCATCTGATTCCGATAACACCTCTTATTAGTTACCTCATCGCCGTGGTGAATATGTATTACGATTATTTTTGCAGCAGCTTCTTGCGTATTACTTTCACAGCCTTTCCTTTGAAACTCCTCGATACGAGTCACGCACGATTCGCGTAACGCACTTCGAATAAAAAAGCTAGGTAATTTGTACTTACTTTTCTCTACAGGACTCTTTCGTACTTTGCGCGCTTATCTGTGAGAAATGTAAATAAACGCGCGGCTATTTCTCGATGAAGTATTTCTGGAAGAGATGTATCGTATACGCTTGTTAAATGCGCGCCTCGACACATACACAAACCAATCTCGTGACAGGCATTCCACAAGTGCTACTAATATTGCATGGTTTGTTGTAATTAATATAAGGGCCTGCTTCTTCCATCGTTTTTTTGGGATAATTGCATCGAAAGCAATATTTAGAATGTAATCTAATTTTGTTCTCTTTATCTCTCTCCCTTTTTTTTTTATATTACCATCGAAAAATCGAGGATCTAACCGCGATATTAAAAACGCCTTTTAACACCCACCCACGTTTCTAGATATTGTTTTCGATGCATTTTTACATTGATGTGAATGTGTGCGTTTTTCTTTTTGTATCGTTAGAATATCGAATATATAAGACTGCTACACCGCTCGGAAAAGCATACTGATGCGATATTACATATCTCATCCCAGTTATGTCTGTGTCACGGTTTTTGTCGTCTCGAGTTATTGTCATTTTTTATACCGTTTCAAGTTTTCAACATCTCACGCAATATTTCGCCAGGAAGTGTCTTCTTTTTTCAAATCTCAAATAATCGTTCGTTGTAATCGGATTTCGAATATTTCGTCGATTGCTAAACTGGGGTATATTTTGTTATCTCTCTCATACTCATGCGTATGTTTTCGGGCGGTATGTTTGAGTATTAAATAGTTCAGCAGTGTTATATAGAAATCTCTGTGCGTTTCAACGACTGAAAGATATATAAGAGATATCTCAGATAGTTATTAATGAGCTCTCGAAGAATGCCTTTACTGCGCGCTAAGTCTGGATTTTATTTGACAAAGTTACTTCGTATTCGGCATCGCGACGAAGATACAGATTTGACGTTTACGATTCGTATCCCGGTAAAGCGTAAGAGCATGGTTCTACGAAAATATTGTATAATCGCATAAAATCAGAATTATACAAATATAATCTATAGTGTAACTGTGTAGTAAAATTGATCGGTCATGTGTTTAAGATAAGTTTTTCTCGAATTGTTTCCTTTGTCATACTTGTGAGACTTTTCATTCATGTGACAACTTTTTAACGCTGTTTTTAATTTCAGCTATTAACGAGTATCTCTTTTCTGAATATTTCTAAATAATTTTAATCCAAACTTGAGAAGCAGCTATCTAATTTTATTTTACATTTGGAGATTATTCAATCTTTTATACATGTTTATAAAGAGATATGTCGTTTCTGTCGTGTATTAATGAAAACAAAGTTCTATGATGCAGGTGGAAAGACAAATAATTCACACATCAGAAATTATAGTACTTACAAATAACAGGATTGCAGTAAAGCAGAAAAACATCATTCTAAATATCACATCATTAACATCATTAATATGTTATATTTATTGTAAATACGATAATATTTTTGCAGCAGCTCTCTGTGATTCTTCTCTATCGCTTCTTTATAAGACATTTTTTTTCCCGTGCTATGTACGCAATTCTAAGATAGTTTCTGATTTAATGCAAACTCGTAACGTTTATATTTATAATAATAATTTTAATAAATTTCTTTTTCAATCACAGTAATTTATTGTCAATTATTAAAATACTAATTTTGCGTGTAAGAGATATTAAATAAAATGGGATATTTCAGTTTCACAGTGATTTGATCCAAATGCGATTGTATTGCACTGAATTGCAAGGCACAATTACGAATAATATAAGTTTGCGCGATAAATTATTCGATTTTGAAGAACTTGACGATGTCACAAACTTTGGACATTTTTTTTCTCCCGGAGAGCATCTTTTTAATAAAAATATTTCAACGAATTGTCTAGCATATATAAATGTATTTCATGTGTGATCATTAAATCTTTTTACAATAAGAGTTTTGCCAATTACAATTCTTTTATATTTACGCATTGTTATTTATAATATTATTATTATGAAGTAAACGTGTTTCGTATCAAGATAAGCAATTAAAGAATAATATTTATTGCAAATGAGACATATATGTATATATAATGACTATTATATATTATATGTCTGATTTTTTATATCACAGAACTTTATCAATTTCTGTTTTTTTACAATTTTCTTATACAAATTCTATTATGTTTAGAATCATAAAAAGTATATACATATTTAAATTATAATAAATATGAAGTAAAAAAACTATAATACATAGATTTTCGAGATATTATGTCGCGTTAAATGAACAACTCTGTTTATCGAAACTTATAATTCTTGAGAATTATTTGATAATGTTACGTAATTATATTAATTTGCTCTTAAGAAATTACATGATAAACATTTTTACAAATATACGATACAAGTACATCGTTTCTTGTATATCGAACAAATCTTCGCTTTCATATATAATTCTTCATTATATTTACTTTCCATTCCAGCCGAAGACTACGTGGGCAATCATTAAATATATTGTTATTGTTATAGTACTTGTTATCATGATGGGAAATCCTACCCTGCAATATATCAAAATAATAACGCGTTTTTAGTCTTTAATTGTGATTTTAATGGCGAGAATTTTGTGAGAGAAACGCGATGACATTTTCCATTAGCCATAAATCATAGCTTCTCGCGATTTTACTTACTTGAAGAATTGCATGAAACTAAATCTGTAGCCGTGCTGTTCCGCGACACCCATGCAAACAACGTTGGAAGAAGCTCCAATCAAAGTTCCATTTCCTTTAAACAAACTGCTGAGCTAAACAATACTGCTATTCATTTATATAAGGACTAGAAAAGCTAACGCTTGCGTCAACTTATACGACATGATTTGTTATTCTAATACGATGATAATTGAATGAACCGACTCATAATAATACTCTACGAAAAGCTCAAGATTTATATTCAAGCTTTTATATTCAGAATGGATTTTGAAATTTCGAATTATTTCAACTCTCGTGGAGAATCGTTGGATCTAACAATAAGACTAACTTTTCTTACCTCCCATACAAGCGCCGAATGTCAATGCCCATACCAAGGGTTGCATTGGCAAGCTGAGCTCACGATTTTGCGCCAGATTCGATGCGATTCTCACCATCATGGTAGCGAGTGGTACGTTGTCGACCAAGGAGCTTGCTAAAGCCGACACCCAGAGCAACAGCAGTATCGCAACCGCTAATCGGGACTCTTCGTTAACCGATAGAATAAAGTTCTCGGTTTGTTTGCCGATCCAAGTGATGAGACCCAAACGCGAGAGAGCCTACAGAATTTTTTAATAAGTCTCCTGTCAGATGTCTTTTACTCCGATGTGATTTTGAGTATGCGATTCGAGGAAATCTACGTTGAAATTAACATGGGAATTTTTTATACAGGTTTTAGTGTAACGTTACCTCCATAAGAATAAACAGCGACGCGAAGAATAATAACGTGCTCCATTCGACACGCGCCATAAGACCATCGAAATCCTCGCTATCGGCCAATATCAATAGCAGCGTCACGCCAATCAAGGCGATCCAGCCCAGAGACAAATGCAAATCAGGCACGCTGTGCAGAAAGAAGAGTGTGATCACGAAAGCCAGCACGAATCCCGATTTTGCCAGCAACCATTTATCCCTGATGGGATACTGAAAACGAAAGACACGCTTGTAGAAAAAATGCATAAATTGCCGTTTCATCAACCAGCAAAATAAATTCGGACACAATAACAGTTTCTAATATATATGCGATTGTTCAGAAGCTTACTTTTTCCTGTAATTCTTCGAGCGTAGTCTTGTACTTTTCTAACGCTGCGCTTCCTGTTATCAGCTTCTTCTTTAGTTGAGACAGTAAACGCTGCACTTTCTTCAACAATGTCTCCCTCACCAGATTCTCGTCCCTGCTGTAACTAGACAGACTCGCTGCCGCTCGTTGCCAAATGGCGATCATGTGTCTCAGATCCTGCGAATAGATGATGCGTAAAATCTTAATTCGTTCTATATTTAAATTATAACATGTATAACAAACTAAATTATAGCAAATTTACAACATATATAATTAATTATGATCGGAATCGATTTTTTCTTCTCTGATGTACCTGTACATCTTGCGGCTCGTTGAATCTAAGAACCGCGATGTCTCGGAAGATGTAGCGGATTTGCGCGGAAACCACGATCAACACTAGTATCACCCCGATACTCATGTGCAACGAGAAGGTGCCAAAGTCGATTTCCTGCCGCGATATAATAATCCGTTAATTATCAATTCAATCAAGGAGAAAAATTTATTCACGAGCGCAGTAAACACTCACGGCATTCTTGACGTCTTTATTGGAAGCGATGATGACATTCGGCGGATCGCCAACAGGCGTCATCGCGCCTCCGATATTGGAGTAAACCACCATAGCGGTCAAGATCGGGACCGGGTTTAACTCCATTACCTCGCACAGCCGGATAGTCACCGGTGTCATTAGCAGCACAGTCGTTACGTTGTCCAGTATCGATGACAGAAGGGCGGTAAAGAAGCACAGGGCCATAATCAACGGCCACAGTTTACCGGCGGTTATCTAACAAATGGAAATGGCGAATATAAAAAAAAAAAATCGCGCATTGCTTCGGCTACGAACGTTTTATTTTAGGCTATTAAATATATGTGTCATTTTTTTCTTGCCTTGTAAGCGTAGACTGCTAGCCAGTCGAATATGCCGGTTTCGGCGATAATGGCTACCAGCACCATCATGGAAAACAATAACAGCAGCGTATCCATATCTATCCAAGACATTATTTCACCCATACTTGGTCGCTAAAGAAAGACACTGCTTCTTAAATTTATCCTTAAATATTTTATCACACACAGAAGGGAATATATCTTATATATGTACCTCGTTTAAACTCGCCAATATTGCAATAGACGTCGTAGACGCTAAAATGGCAGCCAAAGTTCTATGGACAACCTGATATAGTTGCATTTAATAAATATAATATTGATAATATTTATAAAGTCTACAGGAACGTAAATATTTCACGATATTAGTTACCTCGAAAATGATCATGATGTAGAGGCCAATTAAAACGAAAGCGGCGTATATTATGCCGACATTGGCATTCATCGGCGACAGATCGTAAGCTAAAGAAAACGCAAGGTTTGACTCCAAATTTGTATGAAATTTGATATACATTACGCCGCGCGACAGTGCCCTGCAAATAAAATTAAATGTTTCAGTTGACATAAAAAAAATATGTATATATATAAGGAAATTAAAAAATATAACAATAAATAATCATAAAATACGAAGTAACGCACTCGCTATCGACGTTTATTTCAAAAGTTCTTTCCTGCCTCTGTTCGGGAAAGATGTCCATCAAGTTTTCGGGCAATAACGGCAAGGTCCACACATCGCTTACGTTCTAAAATTGACAAGAATTGCGTGCGATACAATTAAATAATAATTTGCTCAGATGACTGATCTCTTTTTTTCGTTTCTTTTTGTTTCAGAATTGGCCGGATTGGCGTATTCTACCGTCGTAAAACGTGAGTACGTATGCAATAATTTTTGTATAAACGCTAATTTTCTTAATAATGTACGTAAATACCTTCGAATTGACGTAAGGCGTATTCTCATCTGTAAGAAGTTCTAACCATGTCATTAAATAGCGCGTGGATAAATTCGCATGTTGCTCGGTTTTATACGAGGGCAGCAATGATCCTTTTATCGTTACGCTAATCAACTTGCTCATAATAGGTTCGCTGATTTGGTAATCTGAGAGAATATATTAAGGATATTTTAGACAAAAGAAAATTATTTTTCATTCGGTTTATGTGTGAATATTAATTTTGTCAAATTATATTTCTCGCTCAAATTAGACGAGACGGTTTTCTGATTGGAAGGATACTTGAAGTTTGTCCGTTAGGAATGGAAAACCGATGCATCATCTCGATCTTTTCGCCTTTGAACATGAGTGTTATCTGTAATGTGAGGAATCAAAGTATAAGTACAGACGCGCGATGGTCAGTCGCAAAGATATAATTTTCTTACTGTAAATAGTAGCCAACAGCAGGAGAGCGCGATCAATTTCGAATAGCGGCAAAACGGCTTCTGCTTCTCTTGCGTGTGCATATCTTGCCCGTCCTCGTCGGCATTGCTCTGAATTGTTTGAACTTGACTTTGAGCGCTGCAAAATTATTATGTGAATTATTACATTTATATTTTTCTTGAAACCAGCCATGTGTCAACAACCGCGTAGGATATAATTTACTTAGTTTGCGGCACGAGATGCGGGCACATGTTCACAACCAGGCAGTCCCTCTTCACGTAATCCATAGATCTGGGAATACGCGTTATCGTTAGAAGCATATCGTTTCGATTATATACTTTTATCTCACCTCGCCTCCGCTATCCGGTCGCATTCCCTTTGGAAAATCGCCAATCTGGGATCCAGACGGATCGCCTCCGGCAATTGACTCCAAGCGCGGAGAACATCGTCGGAGATCTGTCCGAATATCATGGAACTCGAGACAGACGAGCTAGGACTGATTGGACTGCGCATAACTTTGAGAGGATACTCGTTACAAAATTATATCCAAAAATTATGACTGAGCTATTTTAATTGATTTTTTTTTTTTTACAACACCTTGTATCTACCTGAGTTGTTACAGCTGCAGTGAGAGATTTGTCCTGAACCGGTCTTGAGGAACACCTGAGGTATTTGCAGATCCGTTTCATCGTCGCTCGTATCGTTTCGTCGCGACATTATAATTGTTTATTTGAAATCTCTCGTTATTGTCCTTTATTGTTTGTAACTTTTTGAAGAGAGACGCTAGTTTCATTAAACTTTTTATTTATGAAGAACCGCGCACATTGTGATTGTATCTCCTACTGCAGACAAAACTTTACCCGTGAAATCTTTATAGAGGTCATTCTATCTACTGTTTATATTTGTTTCATATGGAAATAGAATCATCGAATTCATAACGTCTTGATATGATACAGAACGATATATTAGATTATTTATCGGATATATACATATAATTTTGGCGCAATAATAAAAGAAATATATAAAAATGTTTACAAACTAAGAAAAATCGCGTATTTTATACAACTTTGAATCTTTTTTTATAAATTGAAATATAAAAATTTACGTTTTATCATCTATCATTATCTAAAATGTTAAATATTTTGGACAAAATTAAATATATGTATAGCTGGAAAATATACTTTTATTCTACAATTTATACATGTAGTATCTTCACGTGTTATATGGATTAAAAATAATCGAAAAATATTTTTAAACACTATTTCTATCAATTATTTTGACACAATGTAATAGTATAACAATCATATATTGACTAAATTATATGACAATTCAACTGTACAGTATTCAAATTTAGGAAATTGTGTATCAATTGGTATAAAATTATTTATTTCTAATATATCAAGAACATCTGTATATATGTACATTCGATTCACACTATTCAGATTAACAGTCCCACAAATATCAAATTATATACATAAGTATTATGTAAACAGTTTGTTGAAAAGAAAAATTATCAGCAAGAAGCTTTAGACATCCTTTTACATGCATTTCATAAATAATACAATAATCTTACCTATATATTACGCATTGCATTGTGCTATTCTGTGCGATAAAGCATTACATAATATATCTACTCTCTTTACAAATAATTTTAGAAGTCTTTGAAAGAAAATAAACAGGGTGTCTCAAGCATCGACTAGCTTTCCCTGTTGCTCTTGGAAGGCTTCATTAACTTCCTCCTCGGTACTAATTGATTTCTGCCGTAAAAGGTGTTTTATATCGTCCATGGCGTACTTTTGCATCACATGATCGTATCGGCAAAAGCACCAATAAACTACGGAGATACCCATGTAGGATCCCAGGGTCATGTTCGTCGACAGCTTTATTCGACTCGTGAACATGAAGGTGGCCAGGCCGGTGGCGATGCCGCCGTAGATGCCGTACAACATGCTCATTTTGAAACAGGGAATCTTGCTGATGTCTCGGCCAAACAGCATCACCGCCTTAGATCGGTCGTTCTCGTCTATAATCTCGGTGTCCATCGCGTTGCGTTTCTGTTATACAAAATAATATAAACGCCTTTATGTAGCTTTGGACAGCAGAATGCGCAAAGTGAGGTTAAACCGATAGCCGAATGAAATAAACAGACCTTATTGTTATCCTCGGAGAATCAGCTGTTCTGTCAAGACGGTATCCGAGATCCTCGTACGAGGGCGCTGCTAGTGCAAAATTTTAAATGGCGGCTGCTACTCGAACGTTCGTTCGGCCATGTTCGGTTATGTTCGGCTATCGCCGGTCTCGGTGTTCAGTTCAGTTGCGTATGGGGCGCCGGTTGACTGGTTGACATTACTTGACATCGCGCAGCGCGACGCGTGTTGCGTGCTATCTAGCTCGAGTGACAGGTGGTGCTCCAATCCGTACATACATTAGTCGCTTACGCGAGAAACGCGATTCGCAGGAAGACATCGTCAACGTTTGTAAAGTGTGGTGCGACGCCCTACGGTAAGGGACACCAAGGGACACACACGTCACGAGTGAAGAAGAGGAGGAGTGAGGAAACGTCATCGCGTCTTGAATAGAGCCGCAAGTCGTTATTTCGACTCCCACGAACACCCGTCCAAATCGCCGTGACATGCACGCACGATCGGTGCGTAGCTGCTCCTAGGTGCTTCCCGTGTGTCAGGTCCTACGATGTATACCACGTATTCGTGCGACGACTTACCCGGGAGATTCAGCTGTAGAAGAGGTAAGTGTTTATCCCCCTCGTGTTATCCTTCTACCTCGCGAACGTCCTCGCGGATTATCTGTATTGTGGCTCGTTAACCTTATATTCGCGAAGACATTCGCGACTCTAATCTTGAAAGATTTCACTTAACTACTCTCAATATGTGTGATGTGTGTGAATTGGAATTTGTGATTATTTCCTTTGTCATTATTTCAATATTACAATTCGATTTTTCGAAACGATCCACGATACAGGTATGTCTCGTAAGTAAATGTAACGTACGTTGGAGACATTTAATGTTACGTCATCGTGTAATGCGCGGAGCGTGCTACTCCCCGAAAAATAATTTACGATTATAAAGGGTGTGGAAATGAAACGCACCATATGTATCTTGAACTTACAATTGACATTGCATTCCAAATAATATTATTCGAGCAATACGATATTTTAATGTTTCACATTTTACGTTTTATTATTTTTAATTTTCGTATTATTTTTTTCAATTGTGTCGACGATAAAACTACTTCATATCGAGAAATATCCTTCGACCGAGATGCGGCGGCGAGTTCATTGAAACTCTCGCATGATAGTGGACGACTTAATTTTTTTACAGCGTATTCGAGATTACTCTCCGGCAGGCCAGGCAAAAAAACGCAGGGATTTTCGTTTCTGTGAGTACGGAATCGCGGAAACGCGGTGCGATATCCGTTCAGGATAATCGCAAGGCGCGGGTAACTTTTATTGAGGGGGAAAGGTGCATGCACGTAATTTTCTCGCTGTCTCGCTATCTCGTGCACTACTAATCATATCTCGCTGTATCTATTTTTTTGTCTCTATCTTTTCTTTCTTTCTCTTTTACTCTCGGTTTTCGCGAACAAATTTTATTCCACGGATTAGCGATTTAAAATAGTTTACGAAAAATTGACGAATTAAGAAAATGAAATGCAAGGGTTCTCGATTCTGAAAAAGACACACGTTCCAGAATTCTAGAATCCAAAATTTAATTCGGATAATAATTTAGTCATCAATTGTGTATATAGATGATCGCTATTACAAATTGAAGAATCGTCGAATAATGTTAAATACATAAATGACTTGTTAAATTGACAACAATTATCTTCACGAAATTTCTGCGACTTTTTTTGCAAACACGAACGACAAAGTCCTATTGCGAAGATCTTTTTTTGTTTGAAAAAAATAATGATATAATAAAACGACCGGCTCGATATTAGAAAATTACACCTACGATGGCGCAGGATACCTCGTAGTACTTTATGATGCTTGCTAACGGTAAGCGGAGATTTCGCACGAAAAAGACGCGGCAAGAAAGGTCAGATTCCATGCATTTATGCAACGCGAAGCACCAACTTGCAGACACAATTACCTGTCGCTCGTAAATCACCTCGGATCTGTATTAAAACCGACCGACCATATAGATTGCATCTTCCACGGCATGGAAATAAACGGTGTACGAAACGAAGTGTACATAAGATGGTCTATCATTACCGCGATATATCTCATACTCGTTGATTTTAAGTTTCGAAATGCTTCTACCTCGCGTCGAAATTTTACTCCTATTTTCAATCTCAATTTTTCCAGGTTTATAATTTGAAAAGAGAGGATTTCGAGATAAATTTAATTTGCATAAAAATTAAGCTTCTATTCTCTTAAATTGAATCGGTGAAAATGTCATTGATTAAAGCAGTGATACAAGATTTCATAGAAGATCAGTGTATTTCTCATAGATCTTCAGTGAAAACACTCATACTTTGTTTCTCCACTTATGTTTCATTGATTATGATCAGTAAGATTTCACTGAAAATCAGTGATAATTGTACATATTTGCAACGTGTAGTTTTTAAAGTTTCTTTTCCTATTTATTTTGGATTGCTAATATTTGGGAGAAATTACATACACATATTTGGAATAAAACATATTTAAATAGGATACAAATTTAGAATTATATATTTTTTTATTCTAAAGATGTAATAAAAATCCACAAAGAATGAAGAAGCTCTTGATCAAAATTTCAGATATTTCTTTAACAAAAAATATAAATTTATATATCTTATACAATAGGAAAAAATTTTCGACTCGAGTTTTTGTTCTTTGGAAATCTTTGATATTCAGAATTATTTTTCCACATTTGCGCGTCGCGAGGAATATATCTATGCGAAATGTGAACATACGTTTCCGCAATCGTCGCTCTCTAAGCGATAAAAAAAAAATCGGGCCAGTGCCATTTATCGTCCTACATTTGGAGATCGTAACACGCGCCGGACACCTTTCACCATCTATGCGATGTATTTAAAATCAAATTCCTCGGAACGCTCCCACTTGCCTACGCGTAGGTTTTGTTTTTTTTTTTTTTTTTTTTTTAAATTGACAGTCGAACATATGTTATCTCAAGGAGAATTGTTCGGGACGCGAAATAAATCACGCGCATAGATAACGCGTTGCAAGGAATGTTTTCGCACATTCTAAATAATAATGCTATTCCAGATATTCGATAACGGTACTCGCGATATTCATCTTGCGAAAGATTGAATACGCGAGCGAATCATTACATTCCGCTCGTGTGGGTCAATATCCGTCTACGTTCGCGATCGAATTTTAGAAGCGAACGGTATTCCCAGTCGGATCTTTAAAATCCTTGCCCCATTTTCTGAATTTATCCCTCTCTCGCGAGAGAGATACCTCGCTGTTTTATTTTTTTTTTATTTTTTATTTTTTTATTTTTTATTTTTTTTTAGTGATCCCAGATTTAAGGGCGGAATATTTTATCTTTGTCTCGTATATATCTATTTTTTTTAAAATAAAGTTAGATGATATTATAAACAACGGAGATGTTAACAAAACAGAGTGTCTCAAAGAAATCCGGGAGTGAACAAGAACGTGTCTCTAATTTCTTAGAGAATGTCCTTTCGTATCTAACGTTTCTTCTCCGTATATCGCAACGTTAGCGCATCTAATGGGGACGCGAGTTTGGTTCGTGACCTGCAGATCGAGAACCGGGACCGTCTAACGCGAAAGATAATCATAGACAGTGCACCTGAATACGTGCTTGCATTAAATCGCGCATTTTCTCCCTTCGACCGAAATAGGCCTCTGCGTATCGATCAGCACGGACTTATTTATGCCTGTCGGTGGTGGTACTTTTTTCATTTCTTGGCGCATATCTCCTTCTACTGCAAGAAAAAAATCTTTTACGCTTTGTTTAATGAGAGGAATCGAATAAAGATATTATCCGCGTCGATTGCGAAGTGAAATATTAACGAGGGGTGAATGGGAAAGGCAGAAGTGTGCAATCAGAATGATTATTACACGCATAGTTTAACTCCTTCCGCTATACGCGTGTCGTATGATGGTACGTGGGCGTATAAAAAACGATGGAGGTTTGCCTACTAATTTCTAAGTGAAAATATACTCTGGTGTATTCTGTAAACTCCGAACTTTACGCGTCTCTCTTCTAAATTCGGCTTTAATAAACGTAGAATAGAGCACAGATTAGCGTGGAAATTCACGCGGGATCTAATATACGTACTTTTCACAGCATCCGGTGCTGGGACAAGGTTGGTGGATCTATATGGGGCAATGCGTGTCTCGTAAGGCGGGCGCCGTCGTCGCAGCATCCGGTCATCACAATTCGCCTTCGTACCGTATCATGGACAAGGCCCAGAAACAGGTGAGCCTCTCCGATTCGAAATTTTCCTGCTATTTTCAATCTCAATTCTCTTACGTTTATAGGTTCTAGAGGATTTCGATAAAGAGAGAGAAAGAGAGAGAGAGAGAGAGAGATTTGATTTATGTAAGAATTGAATTCCTACTTTAAATAAACCATCTCTCATTTAGAGATTCAAAAGAGGAGAGCTCCCGACGAAACTATATATTCTCTTAAATGGAATCAAATTATCACTGATAGGAATCAGTTAGTGATAGTGGCCGATTTTTCAGTGAAATCTACCAGCTTTTATCAGTGACATTTTTATTAATTTAATTTAACGGACTGAGGTCAAAGTTTCAAGAAAACTCATCTATTTACAGTATCAGCAGATATTAAATTGAAAATTGAAATCGAAAGTAAGAGGATAATTTCGACTCGCTGTCAGGATGCCTAGATTCGAGCCGTCACGACTCATAAAAAGCCATCACGCCGTAAAAACACCGCTCTTTCTATCGTTGATGGACATTGAACTTCGAGGTCCGCGCTCGCCGCTGCGGCGACGCATCGAGTTTCGCTCGCCAGATCGAAGCGTTCACTCAACTTTGTCCCTGACTCTTTTTCGTTGCGTTTACATAATATCCATGGAATACTGTCGGCGTATACGCTACAATATGCGACTTATCGCGTGTATGTCGCATCGCGATCGCGAGTAACGTACGCACGTACGTATATATGTAGCGAAAAATCCAATTGATTGCACGGATGGCTAGCTAAAGGCTATGTTGAAGTTCAATGCCCTTCCTCAACCACGTTTCCACCTGCAACGGTATCGCTACCACCTGTGAATATATATCATTCGTGCGCATCTGTCGTGTCTATACGATGTAACACGACTTGCATCCCGTTTCGTTCCATGAAAATCCGCGCGATCGACGATGCGTGACCGAATATTGCGTTGGAGTATTATGTCGAATGCGTTGAATTAATGCTGTCTCATGACATATATTGAAGTTAAAAGTACGATAAGCATGACCGTTTTATCTCATACTCGAAGTACATTCGCGTCGTCTGGCAACCTGAGTCGAAATTTATCTCCTACTTTCGATCTTAATTTTCAATTTGACATCTATTCTGATATTTTAATCAATAAGATCACTCTCTCTTTTTTTTTTTTTAATTTACAGTCATGGAGCAAAAAATGTAAATGTTTAAATAAGAAATTGTTTGTTTAGTATTTAACAAAATACAGAGCTTAATTTCTATATAAATTAAACTTATCGAAATTCTCTAGCTGTAAATGTGAAAAAATGGAAGTTGAAAATAGAAATATTTCGACTCTGGAAAATTTACATAGTTATTATATTATCGATCCTTTCTTCGTATAAATAATTATTTGCATTTTGAAATCGGCACTTTCGCATATATAAACGTGAAGAAAATCATTCCACGCATAATAATTCGCACGCTTGAATACTTTCACTAACATTTAATGCAAGAAAGGTTTTTATTACCTATCGAACACGTCGATGTATAGTATCAAGGTATATTGATCTCTGCTTTCGCGGCACGCGTTAACTTTCTCGCATAAATGAATTGCAACGAATTAACCTTCTTCGAACGACCATGCGCACATAAACGCAAATAGATATGTAAATGTCTTTACGTCAGCGATTACCGTTGCTTGCAATTTTTAATTTGCTTCAATGCGAGGATAAATGAGTTTAACGATGATAATGTTACGGAGAATAGCCTCTATACTCCTCAAGTTACAGAAATAATGCGCGCTTTTGGGGAATAATCAGTCCGCGAACATCGTAAATGATCGAAAAGTTAATTTATAGCTCTTAGTTCCTTAACGAAGTCGAGTTACCATTAATTTGCGCGAATCTTACACAAGCAACCTGCGATAGCAACGCGCGCTTCCCCGCGATAAGAATCAACGTACGCATGCAAATTGTTCGTTAATTAAATTTATTCATTAATCGCGACCAATAATCTCGCCAACGGTTTCTCACATGTATGCACACGCGCCGTTAAATTCTCATCCGGAAACAAGAGCTCGCTCTTTTGTGAGAGTCTTTTTGCCCATTCGAAGACGCGTTATTAATTCACGCGACCGATCTTGCTTCGGTCGAACATGATGTGCTTCCCATTGTTCGTCGTCACGCGTGTCGGTTCCGTGGGTAGTCTCGCGCCGGGCCGGAAACCGAGAGGCTGAAAACCGGCACGGCACCCGCACGGTTCAGGTGCGAAGAAGGAGAAATCGGCGGAGAGAGAACGCGTCTTTTCTCTCCATTGTTCTTTCCTCGTCTCTTGCATCCACGTGCTCTCAGCCGTGCCGATTCGCACGGCGATCGCGCTTGCTCCCGCGATCGAACGATGGCCGCTTGCTTCTCCCATTGTCTTTCCCTTCATGATTTCTCGTTAATGGCTGAAAATCCGCGGACTCTCTCCCCGATCGAGAGACGTACGTGTCTGTAAGCGGAAGCGCCTTTCTTTCGGTTGCGTATGCGAGAGAGTTTCATTGATGATCGGAGAAAAGAAGCTCGCCACTCACTTTGGCTCTCGCGATTTTATCGCGAGACTTTATCGCGAGATGACACGCAAAAGTCTATTCGCAAAGTCTTATCAGCAAGGTCGATAACTAATTGTAAGTCCGACGTCATTTTAGTGAAGAAAAAAAAAAGAGATCAAGATTGTATTTTTATCAGGAAATACATCATGATAATCTTATCGTATTAATCTATTCGTTAGACAATCTTTGTTTCTTTGTGAGATTTGATATTACAGTAGCATGGTATCTCTCAAAAATTATTGGCTGTTTTTTTAATAATAGATTCTCTGGCTAATTTTGAAACGATTTTTTCTTAGCGAAAATATCAAGGCATCGATGACATTTGAATTATAAGTTTTGATTGAAGAAAGACTTTGCACAAATTAAACTTTGTGGAGTTGAACGATTAACGAAACTACATTCTTCAATTAAGTTTAAGTGAAATCTCAATTATAATCTTAAATTAAGATTCAATTATTTGATGGAAGATATGATGGAAAAAAAATGGAAACTCAGAAAATGCTAATTTTCGTCGACATTTTCGCTGAAAAAAATCGATTCCCATTTAGCCAGAGAATCTACTGTTAAAAAGACATTTTCTCTGAAATCTATTTATATTTATAGAAATATATATATAGATAGAAATTTTGCATAATTGATTTATCAGAAATTTATGTTAACGTTACTCTTTGACTCGGTGAATCACGTTGCTGATTCGTGCTTCAAACGATATCACGCAACGGTTCGCGCGAGAGAGATCATTTCGTTCTGATAGTTTCGCATGATCGGCATTCAATTGCCAATTCCGCACGAATCGTTCCTCCTGATAACAATGCGCTACGATCTGACGTAGACCCATCGCTGAATCAGACGATTCATATACAGGGTGCGCCCTGAATGAAAGTGATCGATAGTAAATAAGAACGTTTCTCTTCGCCGAATCGATTCGTCTTTAGCGAACCGAGGGAGGGGCGAAGTATTATACGCGGGGTCGTTTCTACGCTACTTGATTTTAAAACCGAGCCAGCCCGAGAACACCTGATACAAACTATCCGTGTGTCTCTGTCATCTGTCATGCTCTATCTCTGCAACTCTCTAACGAAGTCAAAATTGAATAAAATACATGAGATACGCTCCCTCACTCCTCCCGCTTCTGCTGTTAAGACACCCTGTATATCGAAAGAAACCCGGGCCGCGCATCCGCAAGATCAGCAGCCCCTCGGCTGATGCGTCGGCGACGTCGCGGCGCCGGCGCAGACGGCCGGATCGATCCCGCTTTTCTCGCGTACGACGGGTAGGCCGAGGGAGCGAGCGAGACGCAAGAGTGGCGCGGGAGGAACAGCGGGGGTGACGACGACGACGAACAGCGACGACGTCGGTGCGCCGTCGCGCGTTTCCGCGCCGTCGAGAGATCGTCGCGTACTATCCTTACGATGTGACGGATCACGAAGAGAGAGATTCCTCCGCCATCCTCTCCTCGAGAAGAACTCACGCTTTTCGCGCCGGTTAAGAGTTAGATATTCGCGACATGACGACGCGAGCTCGAAGCCCCGTCGCGGGCGGCCGTCAATCCCCGTGAGAGAGAGAGATCGATCGACGACCGGCCGTGTGACATTGGCCCGGGCGCGCTGTCATGGAGTACCGGTGCGGCAGCACGAGATGCGAGGACGACTCGTTGGAGAACGAGAAGGGCATCGGCGTTGCGGTAAGGCATGCCGGGACACGATAAAATTTGCTTTTTCCCTTCGGATTTTCTCTTCTACGGAAAGGAGTCAGAGAATCTCGAAGCTATACGTGTGAAAAATTTCGATGGAATTATATCATTAATGTTATCGAATTGTTGTTTATCGAGTGGCTTAATAGATTCTTTCATTTGCGAATTTTATATCAGGTGTCGAAATATTTATAAAATTAAATTTCTGAATTGAAAATGTTATCTGATATTAATGTCCATTTATGATGCAATATATATAATACATAAGATATATTTTCCTTGTTCTTATAATAAAACTTGATATAATATGTATTGTATTTAATTATCGTTATAAAAAGAAGTATCGAATACATAATCTTAATAATTTAGCAGATTTGGACTTTATGTAATTTTAACAATTTTTTAAATATATTTATTATATCGTGACGTGTTGCAAGATGCGTGTATTAGAGTATGATATATGCACAGTGATATGAACGAGACGTCTTCACGGTTGATTTGCGATCGTATCACCTTCTCGGTTCTTACGTATCAAACGCGAAGTAGATAACGAGATTTCCAAGCTTCTTTCACGGGAACGCGATCTCAGATTTGTCGGGATGCCATCGGGTAGTTACTCTATTTCTGGAGTTCGAACGAGGTTGGCCATTCTCGGGCTACCCGAGACTAAAACGACACACTCGGACTCCGCGAGTTGTCGCGTCGTGCACAACCGATCGAAGTTGGCGTCTTCTTCCGTCAGCGACTCGACAATCGTGGACAATGTGGTGCTCGCGTATACGTTGCTCCGGACAAAGACTTTCCTTTGCGGTGGGATGCGTTATCGGCTCCGCGCCGTTATATAACCCCGTGTACGCATTTGTGTACGAATATCGATTAATATCGTTGCAGACGACGACCACGTAGCAAGTTCGTCGAACAAGCCCTTAAGCCGCGCGAACGCGCGGCACTGACGTATGAATATTTTTCGATCATGCCAGGTGAATATCTGGAGAGAAGAAATACAGAAGAGAGACAAAGTCGCGCTCGGATTAAGCAACTAAGATCTTATATAATCGATGATAGAACAAAGTTCAGACTAATTATTAAAACTCAATTATACGGGATATCGATCTTCTTTCGTGGATATAATCTGCAGTTGATTATACGTGACTAGCGCTACTGATAATCCATTTTATATCTTGATACGAAGTGTTCTTTTATTATCATGACGGTTGTAGAAACGTGATAGAGGAATTGAGACCGCTAATAACAAAAAATAATAAAAAAAAGTTTAAGAAGGCGATCTCGAAAATTTCCTCCTATTTTTTTTCTACAAATCTCAATTTAACATTTATTATGATTCTTTGAATAGTCAGATTATTTTCTTTTAGAACTCTCTATTTAATTTATATTCTTATCGAAAGATCCTATTTTAAACTTTTAAATAAGAAATCATTCGTTTACTGTTTATTTAAAACACAAAATATAAGAACTCAATTCTTATATAAATTAAATCTATCAAAATCTTGTAGAATCCATCAACATAAAATTTATAAAATTGTGGTTAAAAATAGGAGCAAAATTTCCACTCTGTATGATTTAATTCACTCTAACTCCGTTTTCATAATATCATACATTTTAATTAATCTCCTTTTCTACATCGCATGTCACTCTATTTTCTTCACTCTTTTGACACGGATATTCCATCTTACGAAATGAATTTTCGTTTCAGGGCGATCTACGGGGTTCTTCGAAGCGCGGCACGTCACACACGCGCGGCACCGCGATGTCTTTCGGCTTCCGGCGAAGGCCCACTAGCGGAATTCCGATGCCGATAACGAACTACGCCGCCGGCACCGTCACCGAGAAGAGCATGCTGCATCCGCGATCGAAGTCGGCCGGCCCGGAACAGAATCGCAGACGGGCGATGGACGACGACAACAGCAACGCGATCCATAATTCGTCGTCTGGTCGGTCGACGCCGCGACTGGCACCGCCGAAGAAGGACTCGAACGGAACCGGTGTCAGAACCAACCGTTTCGGGTATCGGCAGCCCCAGACGAGATTCACGAACAAGGTTGGCGACATCTGCAGTAGTCACAATATCAGCCACTATAATCAGGAGAAGCTGCAACAACATCAACAGCAGCAATATTATCAGCAACAGCAGCAGGAAAACTATTTTGTCAAACAACAGCAGCCAAATAGGGTCGCGCACGTGCAGCAACATTTGTGCAGCACGACGGCGCCGACGAAGCCTCGCTCGTCGCCATCGAATAATGCGGCTTACGGCGGCGGTAACAATACGATGATGCAGTATGTGGACGCGAACAGACGAGTCTTAAGCATTCCTGAACCCATTAGCAGGTATACTCTGCACACCAGTCACCTGCCGCTTCCGCAGTTCGCCGTGCGGGTAAGCGATTCTAACTCCAAGATCGCCAAGACAGCAGCGAATCAAAGCAGGAAGATATCCACCTCGAAAGGTTCGTCCAGTTCGAAGGAGGGCTCAGTTACCGAAGATTCGGGCGTCAGCAGTCAGCCGGCTGGTCCAGAAGACGACAGAATCAGGTCGATGGATTACGTGGACGAAAACTCTCTGAGAAGACGCGGCGTCGGTAGACCGAGAAACTTGCGTATGGTGGTAAACGGCAAAAGCTTCGACGTAAGAGACGTCCGAGACGACGACAGCACGGTCACGGAAATTTCTGTGATTCCGTTGCCCAAGTCGTTCGCGACCGCTGCAGCCAATCTGAATACCGGATTTGTACGCGAACGAGCTACACAGTTTCAACGGATCGTGAATAAGGACAACAGGTACACCGACTCGACCGCGTCAATGTCCACCACGTCCTCAGAGGGATACGAGGAGGGTTGCTTGAGCGAGGAGAAAGTCTACAAAGATCGTTCGCGTACGGAGAAAATCCCGTCCATAAAATCGGACTTTAGCCCGCTAAGTTCGGACGATCCCGAGTACGGTCATGGTGAAGCCATGGCGGACGAGTACTCGTTGAGCTCTAGCGACGAGTGCCAGCGTTCCAACTCCATCATCGTTCAGCACGCGCAAGCGATCACCGCCGCTACGAAGAGCAGCGCGGCGTCGAAGAACGCTCTGCGTTCGGTGCTGCTCACCATCGAGGATCCGGCGTTCGCTGCCGCCGCTGCTACCACGACTACTCTGATAGACGACGAGACCTCGCCGGTTGACAGTCTATTCGACAGCCCCACCGCTAGCATCACCCAGTCGGATGGAAAGCCCTCGAACAGGGACGAGGAACACGCTCTAGAACGTTCGGACAATACTCTTGAGGATGATAGTCCCGGCACGCCGACGAACGCCTCCAACTCGCTCAGCCTGTCCGAGGGTAGAGAGTTCTTCGACGACGAGATTGCAGATCAGCCGGGATTGATCTTCGATGACAGCAACTCGAGGGCTAGAATCGAGACGCAGTCCGCGATGGGGAATCAAGTAATCACCGAGAATAGCCACACTCTAATTGAGACGAGCTCTAAGACAGGTTAGTACGGATTACGATGCTATTCTTCCTCGTCTTTTCCAAATGTACATTATATGGTAAATGTACATGTATATAAGTATCTAAGTAACGAAGATTTTATTGAGTCTAATATAATGAGTCTAAAAATCCTCGTTTTCTCAGTCTAAAAATTTCAATAAACTTAAAAATAACAATATACAAACGTGTCAAGATAATAAATATATTATCTAGAAATTTTTATTTGAGATTTATTTTATCACTAATAATGCATATTTGTGATTTAATTTATAGGTGGTGCGCACGTCAAGGGTGTAATAAATAGTCCCCATCACGGACAGCGTTTGCATCGAACGGGAAGTGTAGATACTTTATCCCCCTGCGAATCCATCGCCTCGGATGATTTAATGTTGGATTATGATGGCAGTGACGCTAGTTCTTACGAAGAACAACAGCGGTTAGCATTAATTAATATAAATTTTTTATAAATAAATTATATTAATGAATTTTTTGTTTTTGATTATAAGGTATCATCGTTTTTTTTCGTCGAATTAAATTCACTTAATTATCATTATCTTTCAGATTAAATTCTAATACCGCGTTGCACGATCTGGATGACGCCACTATAATTTCCGAGCTGGAAGCTCAGGGCGAGGAAGTGATGAGGCAGTGGAGCTCGTTGCTGAGCACCGCTCATATGCAAGACGAAGCGAATTCCAATTCCGCTAACAACAATTCCGTCAACAATGCAGTGGGCAACAATAACAATCAGGCCACCATCGAATCTGGGTGTGTACTCGTATTTTTCGCTTAATCTTTTCACGCTTGCATTGCTTGAAATACAAAATTCCGTGATGCACGAAGCTTCTTTGGGAATGATAAACGAAACGATACCGTGATTAGAGTTACAACGTGTAACGTTTTACTTGCAAATGATATGTAAATTATGCAAAGATACGTTTCTCTTCTCCGAACAGGGCATAGGAGAATAATACAGCTTTCCATACGTGTGTGTCAGTATTGTTACATTTCCTTACGTAGATAAAGTCCGGCAAAGTACAATTATTAAATCTCTGTTTTCGTAATACCTTTTTGTTTTTTTTGCATATTGTTTAGTTGTCTTAATTGCATCATCACCTCATCTTTTAGCATTTTGAACGAATGTCCGCATATATTATACACTTGCATCAATCGTTTTGTATGCTTTCTAGTTGCAACATATTGGATTTATCTCGAATGCACAATTTGGGTTAACTTTAATGCGTTTATAACAGAATTTTTAAACTAAAAACTGTAGTACAATGTAGGAGATAGAAATTGTAGCAGGCTTTTATCTAGAGACGATAAGTTGCATAGGAAGATTGAAAGAGTATCTGATCAATGCTGTGATATAGTTAGTGGAGGTGCATACTATGTGAAGAAAAGGAGACAAAGAATGTGTCATCCAATTATTAAATTAAATTAATGTGTATCCCCTGTTCCGTGTTCACTATAACTATATAAGCCGCACTCGTAAACTCCGATCAATATAATTTTTTTTTGAATTTTTTGTACATCATTTCTCGTGTACAAAAAATTCTGCGAAAGTAAACTAAAATGCATGACGTGAGACAGTTATAAATAGTCGATAATATACAAATTTGGACTATTTGTATATTTTTTAAAAATATTTCGCCGGTAAGTTTTATCTTGGGGAAAACTGCATTTTTTGCACTTTTTCCGATCTTGCAATATTATGAAAACTTGATAGCACTCTTTAATCTCTTATATACTCTTCTATTAATCTTTTTTTTTGCGTACTCTGTATAATTCAAGATCTCTATCTTTTATACAATTATCTTTTCGTTCGGTTGAATAATAGCTTAGCGACAGCATCTGTAGAGAGGAAGAGTGTTGTAATATTCCTTGTGAAGATTCTTTTTACATCCTATATCATTGATTATTATTAATAGATATGATGATACAATTTTACGTTAATTCATATAGTGAGAAGATATTAAATCGCAACGAAGGATCGTAAAAGTTGGTCACTGCAGAAAGTTACGCATATTCGTAAGTTCCGTCTTCTTTCGGCATTTTAATCAGAAAGTAATATCTCTTCTGTATCGAGAGCATGAAGCATTTTACACGAAAATTAGAGGTAACGTAACACTTCGGATGTACTGTTGCAACAATAATTGCGCTATTGCGAGTCGCGTAAATTTCGAGCGCGTCATGGCCACAAGCGCATAACAGCCTACTCTCTTTCGCGGCGCTAGCTCTTTTTTTTTTACTCACTCGGCGAACGAGAAGGAACAGAACATCTCCAAATTCGCCTGTTAGATCTATCCTCCCTCGAATTACCGTTGTTCACCTGCAGTCCTCGTCCGATTTTAATCGACATTCTCGAGGCTTTTGTCGAGCTTTCATGAACTTACGTTTTTGTCTATTTTGTCAATATTTTGTCCATTTCGTTCCGTTTTTCATTAAATAGCGATTAATGTATGCGATCAAATAGATAGATAAAAAAACAGACGTTAGAAGAGATTTAGCGGATAAATTGATTCAATGCTGATAATGCGTGATATTTTCGTGTAAAGATCAGCCTATTAATTAGCTAAAAATGGGAATGTTTCTCTTCATGAAAATATTACAGATTCTCGGCAACAAATCATTGTACTCTCTTATATCCGACTACATCTGTCCTTTGCTCTCAGACACTTTTTACGTTCAAGACATACGTACGCGATAATATTTTCCCCCTCCTTTGTTTGTATAAAATTAAAAAAAAAAAAAAAAAACATCCGCATCCGCCACAGGAGACGCCACAATTCAGCGACAGTATTCTGTGTTCTAGCGCGCTAATAAAACGGGTGAAGCAATTGCAAATCCCCGATGAGGACTCCGCGGGTGGAGACTACTACCAGCTGACATACCCTAACTAGCGAGCGGGGTCCGCCGATCCTCCCTTGAATGTCGACTAAGCAAAACCGATAACCGCAAGCCGATTACAGTAATAATAATACACAGACGCAGGCTTAACTCGTGAGTGATGGCGTCTCGTAAAATAAAAATCGTAAAAATTGCTCATGTTAAAATGAAATAGCGTCACCAAGTTTTACGATGAACAAAAGATATTGTCGATCAGAAGATACATAAATTTTTACGAGACGAGATCAAAGTATCTCGTCGCGTAAAGAAAGGAAATGATTCTTTATCTGAGCGCGATCACTCGTGAGATAAACGGATAGACATTGCTAGGAGCGAGAGAGAAGCGGGCATGATTGGGAGAATCCGAGCGATGATAACACAAGATATCGCAACTAAAAAATTCAGCGATTAATCGTGATTTTATGCTGACCTGTGCAACTTTCGTCTAGGCTATGATTAAATGGAAAAGAGAATAGGGAGTGACACACAAAGTTGTCAAATATTATTTCCAATACGTAGTTTCAAAGTTTAGTTAGAATAATTTGAAATATGAATTAAAGTACATATATATATATATTTATATATAGTTATATTATTTCTCTCTTTTGTATATATATATATAAAAGAGAAAAAAATTTTTCTTACGTAATTCCTAGTCTGATAATTTTGTACATTAACGTCTCACAATTTGTAGATATAATTTTTTTAATTCCTTGACAAACTTCGTGTGTACAATTATCATTTGTTTAGAGACTTGTGCTGTGTTACGTATCCTTCCTGCGTGCGTTTTCGAAGTATTGATTTTTTTTGTTTCTGAGGAGTATACTAATATATAATAACTTATATACGTCCCCCCATCCTACTCCAACTTCTTAAGCCCGACTTGGATGGGAAAGATGCTACCTCAAATGATACTAGTCCTCCGACCCACCTCCGTGAAAATTCATTATCTCGTTAGTTTACTCGCCTTTCTTTGACCTAAAGAAAAATATGGCTTAACTCATGACTTCGTAAGAGTCAGGTAACTTTCTCGAGATTATACAATGCGTCTTTATTATAGTCGCATAATTTACTAATTCTCAAGTATAGTCGAAGTGTAGTCGAAGCATAGTACGCGAATAAAGAGAAACCCACTTTAAACTCACGGTCGATTCGCCTTGTCCTGGTAAATAACGTTGCTCCAAAGAACGACTCGCTTGGGTGTTTCCTTAGCACAAGTGAACCAGCACAAAGCGAATACGCGAGGGGGACGAAACGTGCAGTAGCGAGGGTGATAGAGATTATTTTTCCAATTTCGTATTTTTCCAATACGGTGGTCGAAAGCCGAATCCTTCCAAAAATTGTCGTCCTATCGCAATTCAAACACCGGTCCAAACTGGTTTCGATGCAATCTTGTAGTAGATGCCGTCTAGTCGTCCCGATGATCGTAGCTTTCAACAATAATAATCACATTCGTACTATTCAAAATACGTAGATATTAGAGTGCGAAGGGTAATCACACTTCGGGATGTTATCAAGTATTAATTAATTAATCGTATACTCTCTCGTGGCATTGTACTGCTGTTAGACGTAGACGCGTAGCTTCGTAGAAGAGACGAGCGGTCTCTCTCTCTATATGCGGTGATGAGTAACTCGACTCGATATCACCCTTCCTTCCGAGGTCATTGTAGAAGATGAGAACGACGCGGCTACAAATTGATACACACTTGTTATCAATATAAAAATATAAATATATAATGTGCATTCCGTTAATTATTTAATTTTTAATTATTTAAAGAATTCGGAGCGGTTATTTTTATGCTCAGTTGCTTGTAAACTCTAAATTGTTTCGATTCTGTCGTTACGTTGCAGTATTCTCTTTGACCTCTCGTAGCCTCGTGCTTATCCTCGTCCACCATGACTGCGTCCAATGTTTTCCCGCGTTATCGTTCATTTCCTGCCGTATGAGATACTTTTACCGTTATCTTACATCCGATTCCTAGAACGAACAATCACAAAATATGACATCACATTGTATAAGCACAATTTAATCCTTCCTTGCGTTTAAAGTGATTGCCTTGTTTTTCCATAAGTAAGGCAGACCAACGACCTATTACAGATGCTTCTTTGAATACAGGCGCTTTTTATTTAAGCTTCACATTCGATATTGCGGAACTAAAAATATTATATATATATATA